TATGTGAACCATGTTTTCACATCTGTGGGAGCTGAAGTCCATAAGGTTCCCCAATGCATCTTTTCTGCAATTGCTGTGAGCCTCTGTTATTTCAGCAAATGGCACTGGGGCCTTTTTCCCTGATTAAAATACTCTTTCTATCTAATGAATAAACAGAAATATGAGGTTGTTACAATAGAAAAAATATAACTCTCTCATTTGTGCATTCATTTGTTTCTGGAGACTAGAAAGAAGCTAGGAGTAAGAAATGAAAAGACACCAGCCGGGAAGTACTGACATCCCACAACCACCACACCAGCATTTGTGGAATGAATCTGTTATGGGCTGAATTATGTTCCCACCAAAAATATATGTTGGGGTCCTTATCCCCTACTACCTCAGGATGTGACCTTATTTGGAAACAGGGTCTTTACAGAGGTCATCATATTAAAGTGTGGTCATTAGGGTGGTCCATAATCCAATATAACTGTTATTCTTACAAGAGGAGGAAATTTGGACCCAGAGACACACACAGAGGGAAGATGATATAACAAGAAACAGGGAAAGGACAGCCACATTTAAGCCAAGGAGAGAGGCCTGGAACAGATCCCTTCCTCACAGCCCTCAGAAAGGATGAACTCTGCTGACACTTTGATATAGGACTTCTGGCCTCCAGAATTGTAACATGATACATTTCTGTTGTTTAAGTCACCTAGTTCGTGGTACTTCTGTTACATCAGCTGCAGCAAACAGGGAAACCACGAATCGCTGCATTTGAGTTACAATCCCCTTCCTAGTTTGCTCATAAATTGCCTCCTCTGAAATCCAGTGTCCTCAAAGGGAAATTATGATTGTGTTAAATGGGGGGAAGTCTCTTACAGCACCAGCTCTAAAAATACATAATTTTACTGACTATATACTGTGCACTGGTACTAAGAGTGTCACCTGGCTCCCCTCCTATAACACCTCCATTTTACCCACCAGGAAAGTAAAACGCGGAGGCTCACTGCCTGTCACAGATGAGAAGACCCTTGCTGAATTCGTGTGTGTCCACAGCTGCCATCTATGCACTTAACCAGAAATACATCCTCATGTTTTAAAGTCTTTGGAACTTTCTCATTTGTGCTTCTCAAAGGTCTTATCTTTGTCATTAAGTGTGTATAACACTAAAGGAACACGAGATAGAATCAGGGACAAACAGGTATTTTTCTAAGAATGGGGGGAAAAAAGCTGTTCTGGTTGCATTCACAAAAGTTGGAAAAGGAAGAAAACTCAGAGCAGTCAAAAGGCAAATGAGATCTAAGAAAGCAAAAATCGCAAGACGTTTTTAAAAATTATTATTATTTAGCATCCTCTATGCGTACTCATCCTAGGGAGCAATGCACCAGCTGGGGATGCTCAAAGATACGGATGGCGAATCCTGCCTGCACCATTGCGCATGCGCCGCGCGGTTGCCCTCCCGGGTCCGCGTCCTGGTCCAGGGCAGCAGGGAGGGGAGTGGGCGAAACAGAAAGGGAATACCACCCGGGTCCGGGGGCTGGCGCTCCGGGCTCGGACGAACCCACCGGGGAACCCCGTGACCAAAGCCATTTGGCTGCATCCTGGCGGCCCGCAGTGATGACCCCCTGAGCATCCTCAAGCCGTCCTCCCCACTCCACAGCCTGTCTCACGGTCCCTCCTTTCTCATTCACGCCCTTTATCTAACTCCGAGCCATGAATATGTCCCCTAACTGGGTGCTCAGTTCTGCGCGGCCCCTGGCTGAGAGGCTTAGCCCATTTCAGGTGTGAAGTGAGGGGTGTGGTGGTGGATGCGGACAAACGTGTCGCGCCCGCCCGCACCGGAGCTCGGCTAGACGTCGGCGGCGAAGGCCCCAAGCGCGCGTGCGCGGGGTGGTTGGCTGCGCGCGCACCTCCGTTTTGCTCCCCCACCCCCTAGACCGAGAAGGCGGCACCATGGCTGCGCCCCCGCTCGCGCCCCCGCCGCGCCCCGTCACCCACCTCATCTTTGACATGGACGGCCTTCTTCTGGGTGGGTAGTCTGCGGTCGCCTCCCGTGAGGGCTGTTCAGGGCTGTTCCGGGCGGGCGTGGGGTCGGCGTCGGGGCGGGGTCCTTCAGAGCCGCGGGGTCGCGGCGGGGCAGTGTCCCGGCGGGGCCCTTCCGGCTCCCGCGCGCTCTGTCCCGGCCCGACCCCGAAGTCGGGCGGCTGCCGGCGCCCGCGGGCCCATTTCTGGGCTGACGGGCGCGCGTGGCTGCGGCGTGTACGCGGCCCCGGCGCCTGCTTCCGGTGGGCCGGCCGCGCGTGGGGCCGGAGCACGTGAGGCGCGGTCCCCCGGGGACCACCGAGCTGGCGCACCGCTCCGGTCCTCCGCGCCCTCCTTCCGGTTACCCACCCGTGCGGCCCCGCCTCAGTGTTCCCATCTGTGGAGTAGCTTCCCGGATACCTGCCCACCGGTTCCGCACTCGCTGTTGTGGGCGCGCCTGGATTATAGCATCCTACATGCTAGTGTTCCTCAACCCGGCCATTTTGCAGGTCCCCCCGCCCAGTGCGTTTGGCAATGTCTGGAGACATTTTCGGTGGCACAGCTGGAATGAAGGGGTGAAGTCACTGGTATTTAGTGGGTCCAGGCCAGGGATTCTGCGAAACTTTCTGCAGTGCACAAGAGCTCCCCATGCCACCACAAGGAATTTTCCCGTCCCAACTGTCAGCAGTGTGGAGGTGCAGAAGCCCTGCTAAGTTTCCTGGCCTCTCAGAGTGACCAACCGTGGGCATCACCTGGGTGCAGAAGCTGGGACCCCACCCCACCCCTACCTGCCCCATCAAAACCTGTATTTTAACAACACAAATGCGTGAAAGTTTGAAAAGCACTGCTGTAACGGATCTGAGGCATTAATAAATCCTCGGCAGTGTACTAAATAGTCAGATGGTCAATTCTAGTAGACAGGAACTTCACCAACAGTCAGAGATAGTCAACCCTAGTAGACGTGAACTTCACCATCTAAGAGGAATTCAAGTAGAATTCAAAGAATAAAACATTCAGTTTATAACTCAATAGAGAACTGTGCTGAACTCTCCCCAATACCACAAAAGAATTTCATTATGAAACATATGTTCTAACCTCGTACCCACCAGAAGGCTTCATAGATCTGTAAACGTGTCTGCATACTTGATGTGGACTGCTGGCCTGCTGGTTTACATCTATTGCCTCATTTCAAAACCTTGCAAGATAGGAGGAAGTATTTGCATTTGACTAATAAAAAGGAAAAAAACAAACCTTGCTGCTCAGAGAGGTAAAACTACTTGCCCAAGGTAACACAGCTAATAAGAATCCAAGCCAAGGAATAATTATGCATCGATATAGTTCTAAATATAAGTGACATTGAGCTCATCTTAAACTGTGAATATGACTGCTCCCGTTTGTCATTTCACTGGGTGGTTCAGTAGCATGATTTTTTAAAAGGCACACAAAAACCAGTCTCTTTATTGTATGGCAGAGAGATATAAAACTGCTGAATTCCAAAGGGAAAAAAAATCCCCACAGAGGTCACTAATTGGAGTGAACAGTATATACAGCTACTAAATTTGAAATTATTCAATTTCAGAAAGCTTCTGGGATTCATAAATATAGTTTGTAGATATGAATTTTCCTACTCAGGTGGTCAAGAAGTTAAATTGTCAAATAAATTCTTTACCCCCTAATGAAAGGTCCATAGAACCTGTTCTGGTAATCTCATGAATTTTAATACCAACCGAGATGTCTCATTAAAATTAAATTTATTAAACTTCTAAATGAGCTTGATGCCTAATTCTGATTCTAGAGTCACACATAGCCATGCCCTGAAGTGATGAATGTTACTTAAATGGTAATACAAGCATTGACCTGACACTGTTACCCAATCTTCCAACAGCCCGAGAATTAATGCTGTTTGGAAAGAGAAACTTAGCTCTCTTTTCCCCCTTCATTTTCTGCCCTTTTCCTCCTTTGCTGCCCTAACTCTCCTTTGAAGTGGTAGGCTTTGCAGGACTCCCTCAGAAATTCATCTTTGCTTACTCTGTTCTTTCACAAAATGTCTTATATAAAACACAGCTTTCCAGAACGTACCACTCTATCTCATTTAATCTACTAAATTAGGTCTGCTCTAATTCTTTAGCACCTCACTTCAGTATATATGTTGTTTACATAACAAAATACCATCAATTTATAATGAGTTCTTTTGTAGTAGGTCTGTTCTTCAGAATTTTGAAAGCATTTTCCAAGTAAGTTTTGTTTTTCAATGATGTAGCCCCATTACTTGAGTTCTCAAGGAAGAAGTAAAATAGAAAACAGGTAGTTTCATGGAGAATTCTTACATTACACGGAAGCTTGTTTAATCAGAGGAGAATGAGGAAGTACATGGAGATTTTAGAGGAAATGTTGACAAGAAAGAAAGGTCACTTTCTCGTGCTTTTGAAACGTATAGTGCTGTTGGTTGTCCTTTCCAACAAAAGCACTTTTGGATCCTGTTTTTCTTGACACAACGATGAATCAGCTGTGATTTAAGTAATAATTTTTTGCTCTCAAATGCCATTCAAAGAGGAAACCGTGACAAGATTTCAAGGCAGAAGAAAGATGACAAGTATTAACTACTCAGTACCTGTGTAGGAAAAATTATGTGATTTGCAAATAACTGAAATTAGGAGCACAAAAGATGGGCCCAATTTCTTTAAAAGAGAAGGAAGTTCGTTTTCCAGAGCAGCTGTCTCATAGAAATAGAAGTGAGCCAGGTAACATTTTCTGGGAGCAACTTTCAAAAAGCAAAAAGATAGAAATGGAACTGACTTGGATGATACATTTTATGTAAACTAATGCATCCAAAGTAGTATTATTCAACACATAGTCAATATAACAAAATCATTGAGATATTTAGCATTCACTTTTGATACTAGGTCCTCAAAGTATGTGTGTATTTTGTACTCACAGCACATCTCACTTTGAACTAGTCTCATTAGAAGTGCTCAATAGCCACATTTTGCGAGGGGCTACCGGCTTGGACGGTGCAGGTCTAGATTTTTGCAGAGCAGCCCACGATGTCTGCTGTTGATAATGGTGTTGGGAGGGCCAGGCAGGGGGAGGATGTTAAGTATATTCAGAATTTGGAATTTTGGAATATGTAAGATGTGCTGTATGTAAAACGTATTTTCTGGGAGTCTGATACAGTAATTATTTAAAATCCTTAAGAAAATCAGCAGAGAAAAATAAGCTGATTTTCAAATTCTTAAAAAGTCAGAAAATAATAAGGTACATCCGTGAAGGGCAAGAAGAATATTTGCAGTATTGATCATAATACGCCATGTCTCCATAAATGTACACAGACTGTAGGATTTTAATGAGTGACCAGTGAATCCTACTTCACTTTCATATAGTAGAATGAAGACCTGTTCTGTGCCTTTTCTCACTCCTGTAGCTCTCTCCTTGCCAAATAATAGCACTTGAACTGTTTAGAAGTGCCTGCTTCCCTGTCTCAGGCCATGAGACACCAGAAGGTCCTGGAGGCAGGTGTCTGTGGTGTTCACCAAGCCTAGCACCGAGGGGATTGGGGGCTCCTGAGCCAGGTGGCAGTCCTGTCCAGTGTGTGGTCAGAAGCCCACAGACAGTGTTTTGTTAACTTTCACCTAGGCTATTTCTTTAGACACTGGAATGTCTTTAAGCTGATGACAAAAATAGATTTTCCTTATATTAGTACATACCCTAGGTAAATACTCAAAAGAACCTACCAAAATGTCATTTGTCTCCATGTAATACATCTCAGATTTAAAAGTGGAGGTGATGAGATTTTCAGTGGCAATTGGTTCTTTATCACTTAATATTATTGAGTCATTCATTCCAAGTGAGGTTTCTATGAGTTTTGGCACCTTTCTCAGGAAGGTAGAGCAAAATTAAGGATCATTCTGTATGCCTCCATATGTGCTTATTGTCTAGCCTTAGAACTTGGAAAGATTCCCGTTGGAATGTGATAGTAATCGCATGCTGTTCTTTTTGGAGATAACCTCTGGCCTTCTGTCTTATGTATTGGGTCTGGTTCTGGATATCAGCAACTCTGTGGTGATAGGTTCACATTCTGTCTTTGCCCTAGCTCCCCTGGGAGCTAACAGTGCACCCTCGGGTTTTATTGCATCTTGCTAGGTGAAATTTAAGTTCTCATCCACATTTGCAAAGGAGAAAGCTGAAATTTGGAGGCCAGTGTGAGGCCTTGGGACAGAAGTGAGCTCACATGTAAGGGGCTATAACTGGCCTCATTACAGTGTCATCAATGAGTAATCTGTCGTTCCTGGGAACTGGAAAGGTTTCTGAAATGTAGCAAGCACAGAACGCCTGTGTTCATGTTAAGGGCCCAGAGTTGGAGTAAGATGCTGTATTATATGCTAGAGAAAAAGCATCAAATTGTGGACTCAGCTACCTTTGGTTGTGTTTTCTAATTAGACCTGAACCATGCCAGCCTTAAATTTGTTCTTATATTTAGTGGTTGGGTGTCCACCACAGCTATTCCTGTTTCCAGAATAATTGAGAAGGGGGTAAGATTTAAATTGAAAAATTCCACAGATAAGTTTTGTCCAGCTAACAATATAACTAAAATATGTAGCGGATTTCTGGGTGTGCAGGTGTAAAGTGTCCATTCCTACTTTCTCCTAGCTTCCCCTCCCTCACAGGGCGGTTTTATTTGGAATCTTAGCTGCACAAACTGGATGCAGGCATACCTCGGAGTACTGCGGCTTCAGTTCCAGGCCATCGCAGTAAAAAGTGAGTATCCCAATAAAGGCAGTCTGTGAATTTTTGGGTTTTTCAGTGCATGTAAAAGCTATGTTTACACTATACTCTAGCCTATTAAGTTTGCAATAGCATTAAGTCTACAAAACCAATGAACATACCTTGATATACTTGACTGCTAAAAAGTGCTAACAATCATCTGAGCCAACAAGTCATACTCTGTTTGCTGGTGGAGGCTCTTACCTCGATGTTGATGGCTGCGGACTTATCAGGGTGGTGGTTGCTGAAGCTTGGGGTGGCTGTGGCAA